GTGTGTGTGTGTGTGTGTGTGTGTGTGTGTGTGTGTGTGTGTGTGTGTGAAAACATCCCATTTGTTTATCAGCTTGAAAAGAGACTGAACGTGCAAACGGGGCTGTGAGCATGCCTGCACACAAGTGTGCGTAAGCGTGGGTGTCCATGCGTGTGTTACACTCATGCGCAGCATCGAGTGTCCATGCGTGTGTGTATGTATGGTGTGAGTGTGTGTGCGTGAATGTGTCCCCCCCCTCCCGTTCCTCCCTGCGCAGTCGGTTCAGCAGGGAATGTGACTCCGGTTCCAGGAATAGCTGCCAGTCTGGACCCTGGAAACTCAGACGACAGAAATAGACGCTTACTTCCACTGCGGCGCACTCATTGCCTAGCAACAGGCTCCCCACACACTCGCCCCAAACCATTTCTAAAGGCGTCTTCTTCATTTGCTGCCGTCCCTGCTTGCCTCCTTTTTCTCCCTCTTCTCTTGTTTCTTCTTATAATCTCCAAATGTCCTTTTGTTCCTTTTGAAACTCTGAGCTCCTCTCATGGTCTTCTCCTCTTCCTGCTTTTTCTCCCGCTGGCTCATTAATGCCTAATGACACCTGACGCTTTTCAGTTGTAGCACCTGTCCAGTGCAAGCAAGCGGTCTCTCTCTGGCACTGGTTGCCCACCACCTTTCACCTCCTTCGACGCCAGCTACTGCTCAGAGGAACCAACATATTCTGCATTTTAAACAGTGTTGTTATATGACACACTGTTTATCCTTATTAAGTTTACACTAGTTATTATATACACAATGTGCAGATTTCTTTAGATTAAAAGCTGCAAAACAGTTTTAGATGAATGTAAAATAACAACATTGAGAACATTTATTTTGGTCTCCGATAAATTATTGATGCATTAATGCAACATGTAACAACAAAATTCAAGCCAGTTGTGATTTTAAATTTAAGATGAAGTCTGGGAAAACGCTTACATAATAAATCTTGCAGTTCCTTGTCATGCTATTTTCTTACCGTGACATCTTCCCTTTCACTGTCCCCGAAGCAATAGGTTGAATTTTTGCCTTCTGACTCTTCCATGAGCTGACTCCTCTTCTAATTTTCTCTCTCTGATGGCCTTCGCTTCAACCACTGCTCCTTTCACTTCTTTGAAGGAGCTGCTCCTCCTTCTGCCTTTTCTAAGCTGTATAGGAACTTCTCTTCACTTGCCATCAAAGTGTACAGCTTTTGGTTTATGCTGACAAGTTCTATTTTGCTCTTTGTTTTTTAATTTCATTTTTTTTGACAGTACACTCACTTGTTGTTTTTTTTGGTTACTTTATTTTCCTCCCCATCCCTCTTCCTTCTACCATCTGCTCATCCATCAATAAATCCATCCATCAATTGCCTGAGGACAGAAACGCAAGTCCAGCTCTACTGTCCAGTATATGGTGAGCATGCTATTTACGCATTTTGCCATGTCACTTCTTTTTTGGTCCATCCCTTATGGTCTCCTTTCTTCCTTCTGTGTAATAGATTTGAGACTCCCTTCCTTCACTAACTTATTATTCTGTGGCACAGTGGGTGCCGATTCATAAATCATTTTTATTCAACAGCAGTCAGATGTCATGTAGGCACTTCTTGTTAAAAATGCTCTGGTGTACACGAGGTAATGCATTTTACATGACGGCAACAGCAGCACCTTGTTAGGAACTACAGAGGCTGAGTAGCTTCTGAGCGGCAACAGCTGCCATGTCACATAAAGAAAATGACAGCGTATACAGAAAGTTATATTTCATTGACAGAAAAAACCAGGCACAAGTCACAGCAATGGTCTCACTCGCTTGATTGACAGGCCGGGATGATCCTTGCAAAGTACGGCGTCACGAGAATACTCTGAAAACGTAATGGAAGCAGGGTGTTTTAGTTCCATCAGAGTTACTCCAGGGATGTTGCCCCAGATCTGTCAGGCACACACTTTTAGAACGGAGCCAGTACTTGTAGTTTTGAGACAGAGCCCTTGAGTTTAACAAGGTGCATACTTCAAACAAGAGTAAAAGTATAATTATTTAATCCTCCACCTCTAAGAACGATATAGTTTTCACCTACTACGCTGAATCTGTAACCTATGCTGACCATTCACAGAGTAGATGCTGCAGCAGCTGGGCAGCATATGAAATTCCATAAAAAAACATGTTGAATATTAAATATTGTTTAATAAGGGTTTCATCCAGTGTGTTACAAGCCCAGCAGCCCACCTGGCCTAAGGTGACTCCCCATGAGGCTCCGGAGTTAAGTTAGCTCAGAACTCTTATTAACCTACTGTTCCTGTTAGCTATACTTCATCTATTCAAAAACAACTTAGGGAAAAAACTATAATAAGATTACAAATGAATAAAGAACCAGGCAAATATCAGAACCTAATACTGTTCAGCTGATATTCATGCACTAATGTCCAGTAATTACTGATTACAGTAGGCTAGGTCATTGATTGCTGTGGCTCGGTTCTCTCTCGCTGTTACAGGCTGTAAACGGGAAATCAACTCCTCACTTGACTCGTTACCCACGGTGCTTGCAGAGGCCAACATGCATGTGCATCAGAATTGGCCATTACAGCGGATCAGCATACTTTACTGTAGATAAACATTAGTGTGCAATTTTTCCAGTGTACTACTCACAGTGTATCAATGTATTTACTGCCACATTAACCTGTGAATATTGCTGTATGAGGTTTAAGAGCAGAATATACAGTATGTGGTTCACATATGCCACTGAGTTCTCCTCTGCAAATGTAAAAATAGACCAGTCTTTTACTTTTAAGCAAGGCGCGCATGTTCCTTTTACACAGAAATGGGTCAAAAAGTGTTCCAGTTTTTAAATTAAGCTTCTGGTATACTGGAAATGACTCCAGCGTGTGCACTTATTTTGTCAGTACCAGCTTGACTTTAGACAGTCTTAGGTAGCGTTTAGATGTTTACTTATTTGTTTTAAACAAACTTGGGAGAAAAAAGCAGGTTTATAGCACAGTACTGCATCCAAACGCTGAAGACACGATCACAAAACAACAGCCTGGCTTTGCCTGACTAAACACAACATGCAGTACATGCAGTACAAAAGTCTGATCTAGGGCACATACACTCTGTGAATGGTCCATGTACCCTACATGTTCAGTGTCATACTTGGAGGATTTAAAATGAAACAGGAATTTGCATAAGAATATTAAACCACACAGAATTGCTAGTTTCAGTTCACTTATTTCTGACCCCTAACTCCTTGCCCTGCCGTTACGCAGAAGGAACCTTTTTTTCCTCTCCGATCTTCTGATCTGGCTCATCCCTTTTTCTTTCTTTTTTTTATCTACCACACTTGTCATCTCTTCTGCACCTTTCCCTCCTTTGTTCTTCCTGTACCCATCCTGGAAACCTCGTGTGGATACTTTAACCCCCTTTTAACCCTCATCTATGGTTATAATTGTCTGTGATCACTCCTGATGTCCGGTGTTCTGTTTCATAATTTAGAAATGATCTAATGGACATTTTGCTTTCAAGATGACAATGATTGGCAGTCGTCTCCACAACTGGCGAGCCGTAGCACTGCTGTCATCATTCCTTCTTCTTTTCTTTTTTTTTTCTTTCAATGCCTCCCTGAAGTGTTAGCAGTTTTCTCTCCACAAACACACATGACGTAAATGCTAAGGCCCCGAGTTGATACTGCAAACACGCTCTGACTAAGACGGCTCACGATGGTATCGTTGCTTTGAGGAATGCATTTCATCGTCACAAAGGCAGCGGAGTGACAGCCACTTTGTTTGGTGTAATTTGTGTGTGAGTGTGGAGATTTGTTTGGGAGTGGCTGTGTGTGGGTTACTGTATGGGTGCTTAAAATTTCTATATGTCAGCTTATTGTCAGCTAACACCAGCTTTTACTTGCTGTTTAGTGCGTGCTTGCATTATGTGGTGTTTTCGCACCATATGTGTGCTGGCATCCTCTCCTCTTTTCTCTCCTCTCCTCTCCTCTCCTCTCGTCTCCTCTGAGTAAGCCCAGTGGCTTAAAAAATTCATATTATGGTAAACATACACACCCACAACCACACACACATCAGTCTTCATCTTTCCATCTTGAAAGTCAGTGTTAAAGAGTCACCATTACAGTCACTCTGATTCAGCACTGCTGCAGCACCAAGATTACCAAACATTTTGTTTTATTGAATCTTCTGGGCTTGTTTAAAATGTGCACTTTTAAATTCTCATATATTGTGCTTATCTAATTAATGTTAGGTGGAATCATTCACTAGCTTGGCAGCACACCAACATCATGCCATATCTTAGCCAAGTCTTAATAGGGGATTAAGTAATCCTCCTGATTACTTAAGACCTCTTGAAATTTCACTTACAAGCAAGATTGCTTGCATTTTACTGTATCAACTCACATAATTACCATTGACGTAATTGTAGCTTATTCACTGTCACACCCAGGGCTTGATCCTTTGTAGGGTTTAAACTGGATATTTCCCCCCCAGCAGGATTACAAATGTAATGTAAATTCAATGCAAAAATAATTTAGATCAATCTACGCTCCAAAGAGCCGGCCGCTCTTTGATGTTTGATCTTCAAAAGAGCATTTCATCCAGGCTTCTAAAGGTGATTCACTACGGCCAAACGGCACGTCTTGATGTGGAATCCCAAGCAGGGGAAGTCACTTGTGACATCACGATGATGTCAGAGTACCCCTCAGCCCGTGGTGTCACCTGAGAATTACAGATCAGTCTTGAGAGTGAACGTTTTAGGATAATCCCTTCACAGTTGCTGCGTCTGCCTGCCACCTTCAGGCCTCACTGGGATGCACACCTACATGTATCCTACTACTTTGCTCTGATCCGCACGGTACAAATTAAATAAATGTAACACAGAACAGCAGATAAATTCTGAATATCAAAATGTTGCATTGAATGTTTTCTGAATGAAAAGACAAATCCTAACTCTTTACCTTACATGAGAGCCACTAAGGTGAGACCCTCAAAGTTGATTCTGTCAAAGAGACATATATGTGCTAATTCCAAAAACACATGAGCACAAGCATGGACACACACTCACAAGCCCACCTCTTGCTGTTGTTAACACTCTTGTTGTGTCTCCTCCTTTTCCTTACCTTTCCTTTCCTTTCCTTTCCTTTCCTTTCCTTTCCTGCACAGCCCCAGACAAACAGCACCAAAAACAGCATAGTCACCAGCCCCAAAGGAAACATCCCTTCACCCGCTCTGGTATTTATCTCCTAACCCGCCCTTCACCTGTGTGTTTGTGTGTGCCCGACTTCCCGCCGCCCTTATGTCCTTTAAGACCCTTACCGTCACCCTATCCCACACCTTTTCCTTCACCTTTGTGTGTTTTTCTTTTCTGTCCATTCTTGTTGGTTTTGTTTGGTCTTTATCGAGCCACTGAGATGGCCAAAGCAGTCGGGTAGGTCGTAAACCAGCAGTCGTGTCAGGAAGCATTTTCCCACGGCAGTTGGGAATGCTTTGTGACTTGGACTCGGGTTGATAGTCTACCGCCATGTTGTTTTCTCTGTCAGTGTAAGTTTGCCAAAGACAAATAGACAACCAGTGCCTGCAGGGACTGTCACTGCGATTTACCCCCTTCCTCCTGTATTGAAGCTGTCCCCCACCGTGTCAGTCCAAAGGTCTGCAGATTGTCCTTCCAGCGAAAAAAATTCCACCCGTGGATTTTAGAGAATTCCTCTGTAAAATTGGCTGATGTTTTGGAATAAAAACCTGTAAGCTAAAAAGGCCCACAGTACACAGTCTTGTTTGTCAGCTTGTTAGAAAAAACATGTTTGAACTAAATCCAGCTACTCTCTTTCCTATGGATTTGTCTTTTATGTCAAAAAATGATGTTAAGTCCATTGTCAAATAATTGGGAAAATTCAGCGATATTGCGAGTGAGGTTTTCTTATGGAACAGAAATGGGGAGTTCTAGTTTCCCTTTGGGACTCTTTATTGTTCTGATTACTATATATACACACAGGGCAGCAGTTTGGCTTTATGTTCTAGAGGGCACTCTAGTAATCTCACCAAAGTAGATACAGTAGGATGCAAAGGTTTGGGCAACCTTGTTAATAGACATTATTTTCCTGTATAAATTGTTGGTTGTTACAATAAAAGATGTCAGTTAAATATATCATATAGGAAACACACACAGTGAAATGAAGTTTATTGGATTTACAGAAAGTGTGCAATAATTGTTTAAACAAAATCAGGCAGGTGCATAAATTTGGGCACCACAAAAAAAGAAATGAAATCGATATTTAGTAGATCCACCTTTTGCAGAAATTACAGCCTCTAAACGCTTCCTGTAGCTTCCAATGAGAGTCTGAATTGTGGTTGAAGGTATTTTGGACCATTCCTCTTTACAAAACATCTCTAGTTCATTCAGGTTTGATTGCTTCCGAGCATGGACAGCTCTCTTTAACTCACACCACAGATTTTCAATAATATTCAGGTCTGTGGACTGAGATGGCCTTGTTCTTCTGCATGAATGCCTTAGTGGATCGAGAGCAGTTTTTCGGGTCGTTGTCTTGTTGAAAGATCCAGCCCCGGCGCAGCTTCAGCTTTGTCACTGATTCCTGGACATTGGTCTCCAGAATCTGCTGATACTAAGTGGAATCCATGTGTCCCTCAACTGTGACAAGATTCCCAGTCCCTGCACTGGCCACACAGCCCCACAGCATGATGGAGCCACCACCATATTTCACTGTAGATGTTTTTCTTGGAATGCTGTGTTCTTTTTCCTTCATGCATAACACCCCTTGTTATGCCCAAATAACTCTATTTTAGTTTCATCAGTCCACAGCACCTTATTCCAGAATGAAGAGTTGTTTTGAGACCCCCTTGTTGCTACTCTTCAGAGAAAATTAAAAGAGGAGGGAAACTTACAATTGTCCCCCTTAAATACTCTTTCTCATTATTGGATTCACCTGTGTATGTAGGTCAGGGGTCACTGAGCTTACCAAGCCAATTTTAGGTCCAATAATTAGTTCTAAAGGTTTTAGAATCAATAAAATGACAACAGTGCCAAAATTTTGTTTAAACAATTATTGCACACTTTCTGTAAATCCAATAAACTTCATTTCACTTCTCAAATATCACTGTGTGTTTCTCCTATATGATATATTTAACTGACATTTTTTTATTGTAACAACCAACGATTTATACAGGAAAAGAATGTCTATTAACAAGGTTGCCCAAACTTTTGTATCCCACTGTATATAACACAGCAGTAAGTGAGCCAGTTCCATTTAGCATCATGTGAGCTTTTTTTTTTTTTTTTTTTCTCCCACAACAGAACGTTTTTCTTTTTGCCAATGTGTGTGTTTCTGTTTGACTACATGTGATGCTAACTTTAGCACTCTGCTTGGCACATGTACAATTACTCACATTCAGGGTTTGAATGGAAGTTCACATTTACGTGTTTCAAAGTCTTTGTGGTAGTGTGGGTTCAAGCATGGAGGACAGGTGTTTATTGCTGATCCTTGAAGGGAATAGAAAGTAGGAGGGCGGCTGCAATAATCGCACTGTTACCAGGGACTTCATCTAGTTTGTGTTCAGCCATTTGGTGCATTATCTCCTTAATTACAGCAGGGGACTGACATTCTTCCCACCTGGAAGCAGTAGGCAGGTGGTAGTAAATCCACATGAATATATATATATATATATATATACATATGAATACATTAGTGCTTCGTTTAAATGAATTCCATCTAGAGTGAAAAAGGGGAAATCATTTAATTAGCTGCACAGCAAAAGCATCCCTAGTAAAGCATCAGTGTTAATGTGGGGTCAACAGGGACGTGTCACCATCAAACCCTTCCCTCATCTGATGATGCCATCAGCACGTGTCCGCCCCCCCCAATCTGCAAACCCCAGGTACTTTGTTCTCACTCATCGTCTTGTCCCACGTTGCCACCGGTGTCTGTTGCCCTAGGAGATGGTTGCCTTGACAACACCGCCATCATCACCAGGGAGACAGCTGATGATTGGTCATCACAGAGGTGTCACTTCCTGGCGGGGGGGCTACACAGGATATTCTACATCGAGTGACAGCTCCTAGTAGAGGGAGAAAATATCTCTGTCTCCAGTCTGAGTCATCAGCAATCAGTGGCTACTGTGTGAACTTGAGAGGAAGCAAGCCTTTGAGGGTTTCAAGACAAAGGTCAAGTACTGGTGTAAATGTGGTAAAACTATAACTGTTATAGCAGAAAGTGGCAAAGAAAGAGTACAGCTTAGTACCTCATGTGGTGATTTGCAAGCTGCAATACAAATGCTAAAGGAGATATTTCTGCAGTATCGAGGTGGTACGTGGACAGAATTGCACAGTGAATATGAAAAACAAAACAAAATTGCAGTGTAATTTAGGGTTTTTTGTTTTTTGGTGGATTTGAACAGCTTTTATCAGAAGATAGCATTGATAAACAGCAGAAAGTGAGACTCTAGATAAAAGCACTTTCATGGATTCAAATAAAGTAATTGCGAATTTTATTAATTACCAGATGAAATAATAGAAAATAGTCCAGATAAATTACTGAAATTGCAAATTAGAAAATAGAAAAATATATAGTAATGAATGATTGTTTATAAGGAAACTGTATGGCAAGCAGTTAAACTTAATTCTATATAGAGTATGTAGAAATATACTGAACTAGTTTGCTGAAATGATTGATAAAAAGTTGCAATTCATTAGCTAGAAGTAACTACAAGCAAAATGGTTAAAATAGCCAAAAGTATAAATTAATAAGTAAAATTGCTAGATTAAAAGTATACATTGAAATTGTTAGCTAAAATAAGCGATTGGAAGTGGTCCCTGCACATAATGAGTAGTGTTTAAATGGAGACTATGCCTATACCTAAATGGTCATCATTCAGAAATGGTAAGCTAAATGCTTTGAGTAACTGGTGAGGTGAGAGTGGTTTGGGTCTGCCTGACAGGGTTTGGGGGTATGTCAGATAAAAGATAAAACTTGGGAACCACTACCTTGCTGTACTTTAAGAGACAGCTTAGTTTCAGCATGAAGTTTAGTGTTGGTAGCAGCAAAATTAGCATGACAAATTGTTATATGGCTAATCCTGTTGAGTGATTGAGCCATTTCTTTGCACATAGTCCTGAACAACAATAGCTGTTTCTGATTAAATTCCATTTCAAAAAGGACCCTGAAATGATGCCAGCGTCTGCCCGGCAGTGATCGCCGTTTCTGTTGAGACGAGTGTGAAAGAACAGAATGACCCGTTTTTCATCTTGTGGGGCATCTGAGTCTTTCTGCTGGGTATGCCAATGTTTTGCAAGATGTTGAGGCCATTTTCTTTTAATCTGTCACATTATATTTTATGCATATTGTATGAGCTGGCTGATTTTTGTCATTATGCCTTTGTCCCTTTCGATTTGCTATTTCTGTGTTTTGGCATGCATTTCCATCTTTTCAGGCATAGAAAGCAGTTTGAAATTATGCATGCTCAGCAGGGTGGTGCAGAAATAAGGAGTACCCATGTAAACAAAAGCCTAGATAAGTTAAAGTTCAAAAAGATGTCACAGCTTTGAGTGCAACATCATGCCATCTCTTCCCTTAGGCTGTGTACTTACTCTGTGTATGTGTGTATTTGCACTTGTATTACTTATGTTGTGGGGACATATGTAGAGCTGTTTATATTACGGGGACTCGCCTCCGTTTTGAGATTTTAAAAAACAGGTCATTAGATTTTAGTGTAAGGATGTAGGATAAAATGATGGTCGCAGTAGTTGGGGCGCAGTTTGGGTCAAGTCTTCAGGAAAAGAAGAAAAGTCAGTGTAATGTCCTCTGAAGTGATGCAAAAAAACACTGTGTGTGTGAAATTGTGTGAGCACTGATGTGCCCATTGCAGATTAATGTGTGTGTGTGTGTGTGTGTGTGTGTGTGTGTGTGTGTGTGTGTGTGTGTGTGTGTGTGTGTGTGTGTGTGTGTGTGTGTACAGGCAACAGAACTGACTCCAAATTACAGTTTTCAGTTCATCCACCCACTCTATGACTTTGGAGGATTCTCCCCCTCTTTTCTGCCATCCTTAACAAGCACTTTCTCTTCATACAACATTCATGTCACTCTTTCTGGTACACTTGGTTCATTTATATTTACGTTTATGTCAAATTCTGCTCTCTTCCTTTCCCTCCCTCTCTTTCTCTTCCACTTTTTCTTTACTTGCTCTCTTTTATTTCATCTTCCTTCATCTCCCCTCCTCATTTTCCTCTTCCTCCAGGAACCTCAGACAACTGTCATCCATAATCCGGTGGACAGGACAAAGGTATACGTCATTCCCCAGTCCAGACCTCTTCTTTCTCCTGCTCTGTCATTCTCCTCCTCTTCCTTATCTTCTCCTCTCCTTTGATATTTCTTTTCATGCTGCATCTGTGCGAGTGCAACATGGCTTTGTGCACTTGTCTATGTGTGTAACTAAATATTAATCTCAGATAAAAGTCTGTCTGAAGGGAACAGGTGCTAGGTAGCGAATGTTGTTTACCCCAACAACCAAACTTGTGTTAGTCTGCCACCAAGGGGGACCTCAACACACGCATGCATTAGGATTAAGGGAATTCTAACTATACTTAATGTCTATTCAAGTGAGAATAGTGGCAGTCCTTATAAGCTTAGATGTCATGTTTGAGCTCAGATGTTATATTTTAGCCAATGAATGGAACCTGAGACTGGTGTCTTTGGATCTTTAAGACTGTTATATTCAGCATTCAGCATTGTAATTTATTTATATATATGATATAGGTAAAACCTTTTATTTGCATTATACTGACTGATGGTGTCTCGTTGTGCCCTCTCTTACTGTCATATAATCTCTTAAAAGTTGCTGGTGTAACCAGTGTGAATGTGTATGTGTTTATAGCTTGTGCATGAACATGCATGCCTTTGCAGTAAGATCACTTCCTCTTAGGCATGACTGAGGTGTTTTTCCCGAGTTGTTATACCCAAAGTGAGAAGTAGCAGAACTTTGTGTGAAAGAGATATGCATGTTTTTTAATAAAGCGCAGTGATCTTTGATTTTGGGTCAGTTATATGTGTGAAATACAGTACATGACTTTGAATTCTCACTCTCCAAGCTCAAACAGAGGCTATGCAGGAAGGCGATGAAAGTATGTGGAAGATTAGTCTTCAGTGCAGTTTATGTTTTCACACCCGCCTGGTTTAAAGAAGCACACTTGACCTCTTTAGCACTTACTCACTCAGCTCTGTCCATCTGGTAAGTTAAGTTTGATAGATTCTGGACTTTGTGAGGCAACAATAAAGAGGAGTCGAGATCAAGTAAATGCGAGGCTTCAATATGTGACCCGAGAAATGAATGTCGCATAAAAGAACAAAGAAAAGAAATTCACCATATTTACACAATGAGTAGTTTTCAAAGGAGGGTCAAACAAAACGAATAAGATGCAGAATGTCACAGGAAACATCTCAATGATTCAAACCAAAGAAAACAAACTGTAGGCGTAATCACACTTTTAATTATATTTCAAATAGTTGACAATCCTTTCCACACTTCTTTCCTTCGCATTCACATGAAAACAGTTTTTCTTTTCGCTCTTCCTCTCCGGTCAGGCCACCAGCTGCTCTTTAAAAGGCTATGTATGAAACCACTTTGGTGCTTTGTGCTCGTGAGGCTGTTAGCACACGTGCATGCTTCTAATGAGGTCACAGAGTCTCTCAACTCTTCATGCAGGGGAATTTAGGCCCATTTAATCTTCTAATTGGAAATGAGAAACTCCTCCTCTGGCAAAAGCCTAAGAAGAGGGAGACAGCCAGCCAGGCAGGCAAGCAGGCAGACGGGTAGATGATTAGATTTGAGGGATGCAGCCCCTGATTAAGATGACAACATATCGCCCTGTGAGAATCTGTTCTGTCTACTAGCGTTATTGAAATGGAAAGCAGTTTCTGTCAGTTTTAGCATGATATAAGTGCTCCCACTGAAGCAAAGGCATCATTTGTCCACTTGGTGCAGTACACAGATAGGACGAAGCTGCATGAGTAGAAGAAAAGAGGTTTGAGGGTAAAAAGGTTAAATATAGACTGACACTTTTAAGTTTTTGAATTGTTAATGCAAAAATAATTAAACAAATAATAGTTACAAAGGCTGGATGATAGTAACTAACGTATTTGCAGTTCGATTTTGTGTTTTGCTTATGAACTAAATCCACAGTAAGTAACTGGTCTTGGTGTATTTTATGCTGTTTTGGGTTTGTAAAGACATGACATGGCAACATAGGGTGCCCCCTGCTGGCCAGTCTTGTGTCTGTGTACATCAAGTCTCATTGCCCTTCTTGTGACGTCCCTCTTCATGTGCATTCAGCGCGAATGTGTGCCCTGTCATGGCCGAACCTTAGCTAACTGTTTATCTCTGATCTCCAGGAATCGTCGGACAGCAGCAACACCACTGTGGAGGACGAAGATGTGAAAGGTAAGACTGCAAATAAAAGGAGAAGCTGTTTGCTCCGAATGAAAAGTCACAACACTCCAGGGGTCTTGACCAGTTTTGGATCATCACTTGACATTTCCAGGCTTTTGTTTGTCACTGCAGTCAGTCAGTGAACAACTTGTGTGACAGCTGAACTTAATGTGCATCTAGTAATCAAAAATTTCAGGAGTTTTTAAACAACAGAAACACTAAAACAGTTCATTACAAGTCGATGACAACCGTGTGACAGCGCACTTTAATGGAATATGTTGGAGATTTGGCTGATTGCCTTTCAGTTGTTAAGTTCTCAGCTTCATAATGGTGGATTTTGACAGGCTCTGTTATTGCTCTTTAGTTGCTGGGAAAATGGATTCTCCTTGCGGTGAAAGCTGCTCTTTGTTACTGACATAATTGTACCTGAATGAATGCCTCTTTATGAAATTGCTACAGTTTTTAAAAGCTTGAAAATTACAGTCAAATGTACTGAGGGTCTAGGGAGGCTCTTAATACTTACATGCTCTGCTTTGCATGAGCTTCTCTTGTTTATTAGACTGTGTTATCACGAGCCTTGGGGCAGAAATGTTTTTTTGATGCCAACTGCTGACAAACTCTCATGTGACCAGCTTTGTCTTCATAGTGGCTTCGAGTGGAATGAAGAGCGTAATGACTGGATTTATTTAAAATTCTGATGCTTTGCAAAAGGCTGAGCAGCACATGCTATATGTACTAAAAGGGTTATTGTTTAAAAAGAGTCCTACATGCACATCATGTGCGGTGCACATGCAGTAGATGAGCTCTAATTTAGTCATCTGGCTCACGTCTAACCTCTTACTGATTCCTCACGGAGCTCTATAATGAAGACATGTATGGTTATGATTTTGTGTGTTTGAGATGTGAGATGAGGGCTGTGAAATGTAAGAGGCCTTGTAATGCTGTTGTGGTTTGGCTCAAAAGTGTTTGGCTGAAATCTTAATACTGAGGAGCACACACCCCTTAAATACCAACATGCCTGTGTGGGGTGTCAGCTTTTGGAGCTGTGTCGTTGTGGCTGTGTGTGCGTGTGTCACTTGGCTAGTGTTGCGAGAGAGGAAAAAAAACACTCTTTCAAAGGCGTATCACACATATCAGCAAATAACTCCACAAAGTGTTTTTGTGTCTAGCCTTTTGTGTCCACTCGGTGTGTGTTTTTCTCTTGTGTTACTGTGAAAGCATAATTTCAGCTTATCTATACCAACACACTCAAACACCCCTGTTCTCCACATCTCAGCTGAGTACAATGCATCTAAATCGGGTCATGAATGTCTCATTTTGGTGCCAAGCATACAGAACAGGATGTGCGCTTCCATCTCCTCCTCCTCATCGTCCTCCTCCTCCTCCCTATAGAGGTTTTGCTGCTATGTCACAAATTCCCTAGCAACCGCAGAAGAGCCATCATGTAGGTCTCGTAGAAAATAAATGTTGGAAACAGTACTCCAAATGCTTTTATTATAGTTGCTTATTACCTCTGCCAAGGAAGCGATGTGATCAGGGCGTTTGCCAGCACAAAACTTGCTCCAACTTGCTGGATTTGAATTAAAATTTTAGCACCAAGTTGGGAGTGATTAGTGTTTCGAGTTTTTCAAAAGAAGATTTAACCTTTTCTTCATATATTCAAAAAGACCTATTAAGTTGAAATAAGAAAAGTTGGGAGACATTATCTCGATGTTCTCGAGAAAATATCAAAAATTGATCCTGATCCAGATATCCTCCTGGAGCCAGGAGATTGGTTCATACAGAGGTGTGCAGTTTAGGATTCATGTTACTTTGATGGCTCTGAAGTCAATTAATGTGTTGTACTAAATGATATATGAAACGAATTTATTATTGAGACCATAAAATCAGTAGAAATGTGTTTATTGAAGTCATAAATCAAGCGAGAAGTAATTTTATCGTACATTTCTCCAGTCACTCTTTTTATAAACAGAGGTGTAGCACCCTGCTGGCTGTCAAGAAGGGTGCAGGTTTAGTCTTTTTAATCTATCAGTTTAAAAAAAAAATATTGATGCAGTTCCAGTAAATTTGGTCTTTTGGCGCTTTGATTAATTTGTCTGAAATCTTTCAGCAAACTGATTGGAAGTGTTTCTGTACTGCACCTTAGTCAAATTGTCATCCAATGTCAAATGATGTGCCTAAACGTTAGCATTAAAACAAACGTTATGAAGGTAGGGCATCTTGACAGAACATTGTATCGCCTGGAAAAACTTTATGCACAAAGGAAGTACTGTATACTACTGTACTTTTCCTGCATCATCCCCCTACTCTAAATTGGAGCGCCACCACCCCACCCCTCTGGCAGAAGTGGAGGGGGCTAGGACACCTTTGGATGGAAGTCTGGGCTAAAGGGAGAGGTGTCTAAACTTAGCACCAGTGGCAGGAAACCGAGACGGAGCTCCCGGAGAGGTGTTAAAGACAAACCGCTCGGCTAGCGCCACCCTTGGATAGCAATAGTTTGAGGGCTCTTAGGGAGCTAACACTCAGATTGCTCAGAGAAAACTACAAGAACCAGGTGAGTGTGGCGTGTTTGGTTGGAGTAGTTTGTCTCTCGCTTGGCTTTATAGGATCTTCTTGTGAGGTCAGTGCTCGACAGCTGGCTTGTAACCCAACACCTGCACTGGCCTTCAGAGCATCTGAGTACATATCTGTTTTGTTAGCCTCAATAAGTCTGTAGAAGCGAATATGTTGCATGCAGCTTTCTGAGGGCTGATTGCTGTTTTCAGTCATTAATTTACATGTTTTTGTGTTAGAATTTGAAGGGTTATTGGGTGTTAATTTAATAATCCCAGTATTCTTCTTATTTGACATCTGTTGAATTAACTGTCCATCGCTGGAATATTTATGCTCTGCACTTCCGAGATATCGCTTGTCAGTCACCTACTGTTGGTTGCACACTGACAGATTTTTCTTGGTTTCCCCTCATTATGCTTGGTTTCTGTACTTAGCACAACTAATTTTAGTGATAACAGAAAAATGTCAAAATTACTGTTGCAGAAGGTGTGGATTGTTTAATAGTTGGTCTGTGAATTTCATGTAATTGTGTTTGAGTGGGTGTACTTCCAGTGGCAGCAAATTCCTTGTTTCCCTGCAGGGGCCTTTTCTTTCCCTCTATTTGTCAATGAGTTGTTCGCGTGCCAGCTGATTAAACAGACAAACGATAATGAGTAACATCCAACTCTCTCTCATTATCATCATGGCCATCACTGTTGTCATCATCCGTCCTCTGCTTACTGGCAAGACTCCCATTAAAGTCTCAGTAAAACCTCTCATGCAGCGGCAGCCGCAGTTGTAAATCCTGCCAAAATGGAGTCATTAACTGAGATAACGAGAAAAAAGCTTCTTTTTTTTTCTCTCTTGCTCAATCTATTGACAGACGGCTGTGCCAAATAGTAGCAGTAATTTTTCTGAAAAAGTAAAGACAGACTGCGCTCATCACATTCATCTGCCCCCTTCATGCCATCTCATATGTAGTTCCAACCGTTCCTCACTGGGACATTTCTGTGTTTTTGTGTGCAAAGTATGAATATGGCTCTCATCTCTTTTGTGATTGGTGTCACTCTGTGTGTGTGTGTGTGTGTGTGTGTGTGTGTGTGTGTGTGTGTGTGTGTGTTAGGGAAGAGCTTAGACAACAGCTCGCTTAAGGCGCAGTCCAGCACAAGCTCCCAACCTGATAGCTCTCAGAGCTCCTCAGCTGCTGTGCACTGTAAGTCAGCATGGCCGCCAAATGCCTATAACGCATTCAAAAAGTTGACTAAATCACTTTCTGCGTGTTTTGCTTGTATTAAAAACAGTCCTCGCTTATATTAAAAGCATGCATCTGCTGCTGTGTAGAGCCACTAAATCCCTGCAACGCCTTGACTTAGAAAGCCTTGTCTCTATTTCTGCACCAGTCTGAAATGAACAACTTAAATACAGAAAAGGGAAAAGTTCTATAAACCACCAGGGTGCTCTGTAGCATATCGCTCCTCTACCGTCCCTTCCTCCCACCTTGTGCCACCTACACCACATAGGATTAGGACAACTCTTTGTCTCCCTCAATTGGATGTTCAAGGAATAACAACACAATGCGACTGCTTTCCAGTTCTTGGCATGAACCCAGTCTTATGTTTCTTTCACTGTCTTTGTTTGAGTTTAACTTTGTCTTGAAGAGCTCTGATAATGTAGTCAGCACCGTAGCGCTACATCAAATGATGTGTCATTTGATATATTCATGTAAATAAATATAGATCTTTTTTTTTTCCACATTAGTCTGAGAGGACTGCTTGTCTTAGTGCTCTCCTAGACAAACTTTCATTCATGCGGTTACATTTAAGTGTCATTCCTCATGTCCCTCCGTTCCTAAATTCAGCTGCCGCAAAGTTCGCTGACCTGCTGGGCTCAGTGCGTAGGGGATCAGGGCCCGTAGCTGACGGAGAAGGGAGAGCCAACACTCCACCTCCCTCTGCCCTCTCTGCCCCCTCCCCTCCACACACCCCGGTAGTCCCCATGCAGAGTAAGTAGAAAAGAGCGACAACAGACAGAGAAAACTAAATGAGAAATATGTGTATAAGTTAGCATCTTCCTCTTGCTCTCATTTATTGCCAAGATGATGCATGAAAAGATGCACTGATACTGATCTGATTTTCATGTGCTATTTTGGGAAAGATGAGGAGGAATTAAAACTGCTGTTTTTTCACAGCTGTTTTCTGGATATTTCTGTAGTCCCTTTAACAGTTTTAAAAATAACCTTTATAGTTGCAGGAGAGATATAAATAAAGCTTATCCGTCTAAAGCGACCTCAAAATGCAGTCTCAAAATATATGTAGTGCAAATAGGGTTTTTAAATTTAAAAATGTCAATATTTATTGCATAATCATCACATAGTATTACTTTTGTATCCTGACATGTTTTTAGTTCAGTGTTATATTCTTTCTTACATTTCACACATTTAATTGCTTATTTAAATAAATGTGCACTTTAACATGTCAGACTGATGCTAAATCATTCTTAAGACTTTATATGTAATCTTGTCGTACAAAGGCAGCTAAACCTTGCAGATCTATGATGGTCTGTGATTGCCTGTAAAATTACTCTGCATAATTTAAGTTCACTGTACTGTTATAGTGAACTATAGTTCCTGAAGGGATTTCCTTGTTTATTCATTCCTCTCTTCTCCTTGTCTCTACCACCTTCTGACAATGTTTTTAATCTGTTTCTATGCGTTCCTCCATCACCCATCCACCCATCCATCCATCCATCTTGCCTGGACTGCACTCAGTGTCTCGGCTCACAGACCTGGTAAGCAGCGTTCGCAGGGCGCCGGCGGCCCCTGCGCCCGAAGTCGATGCTGCGCCGGCGCCGGTACCTAGTGCCAGGCCTACCCCTCCACATGCACACACCACTTCCCCACCTCCCCCTCACTCCCCCTCCAGCCCTCCCCTGTCTTCCTCCCAGAGTGAGTACTGAGTGAGCCAAACCCCAACCCTGCGCATGGTATCCAGTCAGGAGCCCTTATCAAATGACGTGTTAGGATTTCAGAGGGCGCCTGTTTGGTAGTTTGTGTTCTGATTGTGCGAACAGGTGTATATTGAGTGAAGTACTTTGTGTTTAATGTGATGCACTTTACTTCTGAGCCTTATTAACCTCCTGTGTGCTGCGTCACAGAGAGCACCGCTAACAGCACAGGGAATCTGTGTGTGCTGACTCACTGTTATGCCCTTAAATATATAGGTGACACGGTTTATGGTGATATAAAGAGAAGCCTGGTGTGTGCTCATGTTAAGGTGTGTTTGACAGTGTCCAGGATCACATGATCACCCGGCCTCTTGTATGCGTCTCTGTGGCGTGTATGAATTAACCTGCTGCTGCTACACTTTGCTCATTGATTTATTTTCTCAGTTTCTCTAGCGTAGCTGGTGCGCTAACTGCCTTTGCCTGAGCATCTGTTTGGTGTAAATGAGTTAAAACTGTGTTTAAATGACCTGAAGTTAAATGAGCTAACATTGATGGCTCTTGTGTTTGCCTCTGAATAACTTTTGCTCGTACATGTTCACTGCAGCACGCAAGCAAGAAATTATCAAGATAACCGAACAGCTGATAGAGGCCATCAACAACGGAGACTTTGAGGCATACGCGTGAGTCTCTTTTTGTATGTACTATGTCGTTTCTGTGGTTTAAAGTTAGTGTTTGGCATCTTTAAAATGCGCTCATGTGTGCTCTTCAGTAAGATCTGCGACCCTGGACTGACTTCATTTGAGCCGGAGGCCCTGGGCAACCTGGTAGAGGGAATGGATTTCCACAGATTCTACTTTGAGAACCGTAAGATTAATAGATACATTTGATGAAAAGCATATTTGCCTAAACCACAAACCGAGATTAATACAGACAAATACTCCACGGCAGCGCTTACATTTACACTTGGATGAGTGTGTACTGGTAACACAATATGTGCTTTTGTATGTTTACCTACTTTTTTCCTGCTTCCTGGTATTGTGAATTAATTTCCATTGATATAACTAAATTGAATCATCAGTAGTAACACTGGTCCTGTCATTATTGTAGTTGTGCCATCGTATTTGATGACGTTGTCCTCATCATCCTTTCAGTTTTGGCTAAGAACAGCAAGCCGATCCACACCACCATCCTGAACCCCCATGTGCACCTGATCGGCGAGGATGCAGCCTGCATCGCCTACATCCGCCTGACTCAGTTTGTTGACGGCCAGGGTCGGCCGCGGTCCAGCCAGTCAGAGGAGACTCGTGTCTGGCATCGCAGAGACAGCAAGTGGCAGAACATCCACTTCCACTGCTCAGGCGCACCAGCTGCGCCACTCCAGTAAGGTAAGGACTGAGTAAGCTGAAAGCAGAAGGATCTGTTCCAGTTCCATGTGTATTTTCTTGGACCTTACCAGTGTACCTTTACATGATTGATAGTTTAAGTTAAAAAAGGATTTATTTTTAAAACTGCATCTTGGTGCACGTCCTGGGCTCTGAATCAAGCTGTTTCTCTTACTCTAAGCCAAATTCCTTGTGATTGGCTGCCCCTCATAAACGTAAAGTTTAAACAGTAGATGCTCACAGCTCTCATTGACACTCTCTTTGAAATAATGCAGAGTCAAGAGCAGAAGAAAAGAATTGAGTACTCAAAGCATTCCTGAGCTTTTTGCTCACCTGTTATACGCTGAACCTGTTATGCCAAAGTGAATTGATATCAGCACGCACCTCTGTATATTTTCAACTGGAAATAAAGAAAAAGACCCTTAATCAATTTGCTATGAACAGCTCTTTATATAACCAGACTGATTTTTTTAATCCTTGGGTGCATTTTGGTTTGTTCTCTTTGATTGTTTATACTGTTTAATAGTAGAAGGGGTAAACAGCTTGGCTATTCTAAGCATAATCAGCTGCTTTTATAGTCTGTACGTTATATCTGAGAGCTGTCTCTCTGTACTAGGTCGTTTTGACACATACAATCCAGCCCTGATGTTTTCCAGGACTTAGTCAAGAGAGGTGCATGTGAGAATCCACATCATATCAGATTTACCGATGTGCAAACTAAGTGCAGTGGTGTGATGTGTGCTGCTTTCTGCACGCTCTGTCCAGGCAGCTCCCCCTCTGGAGTATTTTCATTAGTGTGAACACATCCGAAGCAGGCTATTTCCTGCTGTGTGCTACACATTATGTGAGAAAGGACAAAATATTCCAACCTGATTCTCCTAAAATTTATAAACATTCTTGTGTCGAAACTGCAAGATGTGCATGCTTGTTAGTCGCCTTTCAATCGCACAGCTTCCTGGAACAAAGTGTGATGTTCGATTGGATCAATGTGGCAATAGTAGTAACAGGCTGGTGCATTCACTAATAACACGTGGGCATCGTGTGTGCTGCCTCCTGCGTGCTATATCCATATATTATTCAGGGCAGATGCATCAGAAGTGGCTATTTCCTGTTGTGTGCTACATGTGAGAAACAGCTGAGGAAAATATTCCAGCTCGATTCGACTAACAGTTGTTATGAATCCACTAAACCCATTTACCATTTTTTAAATTATGTATGTGTGTGACACTTTGATTTGTGTAATTATTTAATGTTCAGGGTGTTTTTGTTGTTGTTTTTCCTTCTCAGGGTTAAGTGCTGTAGTTTCATCTGTCAGGAGTGCTCTGCTGGAGAGAGGAGGAGGCAGAGGAGGAGGAGGATGAGGAAGGTGTGAAAGAACACGTCCAGCAGTGCTCTGGGAGCTCTTTGTCCTCCAACAACAAACTGGACGCCCGGCCTCAACCCCCTCCCAGCATGCGTCTCTTCTTTTACTACTACTGCCCCCTGTTTGTCACCTGTCCTACCGCACCTTCTGACAACCGTCGAACAGCAGCAGCGTCCTTCATCCCTCACGACTTCCTCTTCTTCCCTCCGGCACGCTGGGTGTTTGATGGGGGTGGGGGTGTTTTTCAGCACTGGGTGTGATTCCTTCCTGTGGTCTTTTGTGACACCAACCCTCTTGTCCTCCTGTGAATCCACACTTGTGTGACATAAACACTGCACTGGAAATACAGTATGTAAAGTTTTAAGTAAAATCTATTATCATTACTCTATTATTATGATTATTATTATAATTATTATTACACATTTGCAATTGTATATGTAATTTGTATAATTCAGATGATGCCAGTGGTTTTTAGAGTTAAAGAAAATCGTTTTTTTCTCTATCTTTTTAAGGAAGCATGTCCCCCTGCCCCATATTTACAGTGGCTGTTTTTTATTGTGGCTATTAAGTGGAAATGATATTGGCAGTTTTTGTAATTTGCTTCATGTATGTTAGCTATAACAGTGTGCCCAAACTCATGGTTAACATGTTTTTGATTGTGCGTTTGCAGTTTTATTTTTTAATGTTATTTTAATTGTATTTTCTTTTTTGTTCTTTTTTTTTTTTTTTGGAAGGGGTGCGTCTGATGGGCGTCCATGTAGAGATCGAGCCCTGAAGTGTGTGTATGGGTGTGCTGAGTAAGTGCATGTTAGTCCAGTCACAATAAGTCGGTACAGTTGGAGGAACTTGTCGTTTCTCCCTTGCTGCAAAGTAAAAGACAGGAGAACAAGTTTGCTTAACTGGGCTTCAAATCAAAGCAAACAGCATGCAGCAGGAGTGCTACTTTCCAACACCGGTGACGCCCTGATCTCTAAATGTCTGAGCTGAAGGGTATCAAACGAAGCAGTCACAAGAACATGCATATGAAGAGGGGAATACGTTTGTCTCTGTGACCAGGATGCTTGATTCTAGAGGGATGTATCAAGCTGTTGTAAGAAAAATGTGTCACGGTGAAACCTCTGCTCCAATGAAGGCTATTCATTGCTGGTATTTGAAAAAACACAGATGATTAGGAATGGTTATAAAGTAACTGAAGCTGAGTA